GAGGGCCAGTGAAGGGGCCGGTCGTGATTACAGGGTGCGCGCCAACATTTCAGGAATCAGACTCGCGTCTCGGGTCACGGGTCAATCTTACCCCTCCCTCCTTCACCGATTCATTCCGCCATCGTCGAAAATTTCTCATGTTTCTCGAAATTGAGGGAATTTTCATCGCGACCAGTCGCGTTAGTTTAAATTTTAATTATTCGCAGAAGTATTTTTAGGTCGGACGACACGCACGGTCGTGACATATCGTCCTAAGCGGCGTGACGTCGTAAATCAGAGTGCACCCACCGGGGCCGGTGTCCTCGGATGACTTGGGGCTCCGAGAGTGCAATTAAATCGTAAAGCGCTCGTCGCGCATTAATAATAATCAGCCACGGCGCGGAATCGTGCGGCGCATACACGCCGATAAATTCGCCGAGCGGTTTCTTCGTAGAATCCCCCGCACGCGTCCGGTAATATTATCGTTACCTCTTGATGTTCTTTCACGAATTTCCTCGAGAAAACCGTTCTCTCTCTTTCCCTCTGAAAGGATTAAATTCAAGAGATCGAAGCTCCATCGCGATCCACCTTCCGCGAAGCGTTTACGTTTCGTGACTATATATCTTTCGAGGTTGGGAAAAGAGAGGAGGAGACGACGCTTCCTTCTTCTCTCTCTTGCGAAATCGTTATCATTTAACGCGAAGGCGAAGGTATCATTCGGGCGCGTTCAAGAGACAGCGGTCCGGCTTCTCTCCTTCGTGCCGGCCCTCGAAGTTTATGCGTGCCTGTTTACCACCCGGTAAATGTTATGCCGTAGCCATAACGTATATCTCGGCGGGGCCCGTACGCGAGTCCCGTACGGGACGGCCATTAGCCGCATTCAATCACCATTACACGCTCGCGTGCTTTCTGCGCCTCGCTCGCCTCTCTTAAATCCTCGCGCCCAGGATATCGAGGTGAAAATATAGCGGCCAGGACGACGGTGAGAAGCAAGATTCGAAGTTCATCGCTGTTTTCTGTTCGGATCGCGCGAAGAGGTCGCTTGTAGAACTCGACGAATTCATTTGCGAACGATCACGGCGGACTATCGGCCTCGCTTCGGTGGTTGTAACCGACGCGCAAATATTTCGGCCGGGTGGGTCCGTCGGATTCCCGGGACCCTTTCTCGTCCGCGGCCCTCGGGCCCCTCACGGTTCCCAGGGAGGTCAGAGGTCGCTGGGCCCTCCTTCACCTTAGTCTCTCTCTCTCTCTCTCTCTTTCGCTTTCCTCTCGACCCGCCACGTCTCTTCAGAGCCTCCACCGCCACTTACGAACCGCCCAGCTCCCTCCCTCCCTCTCTTGAAAGAGTTATTCATTCGTTCGGGCATGACGAGAGACGTCAGGACGACCCCCTTGCAAAAATCGCGAAATTATAAAGTAACCGGAATAATCGAAGCCAGTGGACCGACGTAAAGGCGAAGCGCGCGCGGCAAGATAGAAATGTGATCGGAAGGAAGAGAACGATTCGATCGTTCTCTCCGAGAAGTTCGCCCTATCAGTTGATTAGGGACACTCGATTCGGTAAGTATCTTGTGCTCGTCGCCAAGATTGAAACTTTCTCTCCGGACATCCTTAATCCGTCGAAGGATTAGCCTAGTTGAGCCTCGTGTGGCTGACACGCAAGCTCTCGATTCGACTCTCCGGGTAGAGATTCCCTATCGATCTACTTTTTTCTTTTTTCAACGGTGTAACGGTATTTCTCGGCCGTCGAGGGGGAGGGTACGCCGAGGTGCGTGTACCGGGTGAACCTTGGTCGAAAGGGCGGCTGGGCCAGGGTCGTTTTTGCCAGGCCTGATAGCCGACAATTACGCGGTCACGGCGATTGGCCGGGCCGTTTTCGCGGGAAGCATGGACCAATCGAGGCACCGCGTATTACCTCCTCTCTCTCTCTCTCTCTCTCTCTCTCTCTCTCTCTCTCTCTCTCTCTTCGGTTCTCTCTTCTCCTAGAGTACTACCCGGCACGCCGCAACGAGCATGCTCCCGTCGCTCTTTAGTCTAGTCAGAGCTGCATCTGTGGGTGAACCTGTAACGCACCTGTAATCTCTGCCGCCTCGACGATCAGTGAAAAGAAAAAGACAGTGCGGGATAAAAACATGATTCGTTCGTTTTTCTCGGTTCTCGTTTCCTCCTAGTCAGTGCGAAATACGTCATCGTTTCGAGATCGACGTGAACTCCGAGGAATTCGAGAAAGATTCGGTGAAGCTACGCGTCTTTGGCGACGAGAGAGCATGCCTCTTCAGGATCCATCGAGATGCAGTGCGTCGTGTTGGTTCGTGACGCAAGTGCGGTAGCGATGAGTCGGATGAATTTCACGATCCGCCGGGATTCTGGGTGTTTCGGTGAGAAACCGCCGAGGGAGCGAAGTCGTCCGTGCTGTGCAAAGTGACATCGATCGACGATCTTAATTATCTTAATAATCGGTCGTCTGGATGACAGAGCGTCGACCGGCTGATACGATAGCGCGGTGATTAGCGGCTAAATGTTAACGAGTTAACGTCGCATAGGGCAGGTAATTCCCGTCCTCGTGGGATGACTTTTTTCTCGCGCGGCGATATACAGACATCATCCGTCAAACGGTTCACAGGAGGACACGGCGTCGAAGAAACTCGATAAGAGCGTCGGATGACGACGGAGATAACGAGGATTTATGGCGGATCGGGTGGATCGTACGTCAGCATCGAGAAAGCCGAGTAGTTCATTACGGCCTCGAAAGAAGTCGTGCTCCGGGTGTTCTTCTGTGATCTATTCGCGCTCCTGATAGGCTCGGGAAAGACGAGCCGGGGAAAAATCGCGCGTTGACGTGCGTATGCTTCCCGGCAAACATAGGACATTTCGAGACTTTCGCGGTCGGAAAGAAGAAGGAGAGAAGCCACACTAAAGAGAGAGAGAGACCTATGACAAATCGTTGGATATAAATTACAGCATTTTTCGAGAGAGGTATTCATTACTGTTAAAAATCGCGCGCGCGGACGGCCACTTAGCGGCACGTTTGTCACGTGCGTGCAAATCGACAGTCACTCGGCCGAAACATCCTCCGACGAGAGCAACGAGTGCTCTCGATGATTTTTTTCAAAAACTTCACGCCGCTCTTTATCTATGCGATCGATCGGCGATATCCGTGAGTGATGTCCAATCTGTAGCACTTATCTAATAATAATTAAGAGTCGATATATATCGATTCGAAGGTATATTAATATGATGATTACTTGAACGTTACATAGCGTGTCTTACACCGGTGTCTCGCGTTTTCGTTCGATCCGGCCGACGTAATCGACACTCGGATCGATAAATCTTCGCCGCGATCGGCCGCTTCCCATGGGACCCCCATCGCCGGTATTCCGCCGGTGCGAGTAAACGAGCAAATTCGTAGGTTGCGTCCCACCTATACACCGGCCCCGTACGCGCGATCGCGAATCCCATAAGTCACGAACGCGAATACTGTGTTTAAGCGCCGCGAGCTCATTCTCGTCCATTATCCCCGTGCGATGCCGTGCGTGCGAGGCACCGAAATATTTTCGATCATCTCCTCTGGAGAAGCCGAGGAAAGCTCGAAGACACGCGAGTCGTGTTTGCCCAGGCGGAATCATCTCCGTCGACCGAGAGATCGCGAGAAATCCGTGAGATCTCTACTAGGATACTTGCGGTGTATTTCACCCTTCCCTTGGGGATATTATTTTGCCCGCGATTTATCTTTCGGGGTCATATTCAATTTGTCGTTTTCTCTTCTTATTATACGCTTGGTTTCGCGAATCGCTGAGGCAAATATACTTGAAAACACTCTACTATTCTGTGCCTTTCTTCGTCCAAGATTAGAATATTGCTCTATTATATGGTCTCCTCATCTTAAATACCAAATTGTTTCGAGCGTGTACAACATACATTTTTACATCTTGTCATCTAGTTATTATCGAGTTATTATCTTGCCTACATTTAATATTTTATCTCTGTATTTATTTGTTTTGTATTTTATTTTATTCTCAATTTCACTCCTGTTATAATGCATTCATGTACGATAACTTTCTTATTATTTACATTTTTTTCATACTGTACGTCTGTCTTACTTGTTTGTTAAAAGGTTGTTCGTGTATAAAGATGATTATTATTACTGTCATACGTGTATATTTATAACGTGTTTCTTACAAATCCCTTCTGAATTTATCATTCTGATTATATTCAAGAAAAGGCAACAAATTATCCATGCTGAGAGCTGATTCTAAAATTCCTAGATTTGGAAATTAGGAACGGCGATTTCTAGATTTCACGTGTTGCAAATTGCGTCTCGACGTAAAGAAAAAAAAATCCGCCACGCGCTGCTACTCTCTCGTTACTCGTTGTATGCTTATTAGCAAGAAGCGCGGAGTTGAAACGCGTCTTAGATCGCGAAGACGCGATTGCGTCGAAAGAGCGCATAGTGTAAATTCGCGTCCGGACGATATTCCGCGCGAGATAAATTAATTCGCGCGCGACCGAACGGCGATCTCGTGTCACGGAAATCGACTTTGCTATTTATAAAAATAGAAGATAAACGGCAGCGATGGGTGACAGTTCGAACGTTAAACGACGGAGCTACGCCGGATGAATCATTAATGACGATTCCAATTAAATGTCATCGTCGCGCCTCGATATTAATCGGCATTGGCACGCGACATCGTTGTTTTGGAAAATGACTCTACCAGGGTCTGGATTGTAACGGGAGAAGGCGATTTCGAGAAACATAAAAGGCAATTTATCTCGTTAGTTTATCGGTGGAGTTCGGGTATATCCTGTATAAATCGCCCGGTTAGTTCCCCTTAAATCGTCGACTTGGCTTCTTTCCAGACTGCAAAAGTCCTTCTTTTGATCATTCGCTAATTAATCCGGACGCATTTCATGCTTGATTCATTTATACTCAGACGCACTCGCAAAGTTAATATCGCTCCCTTTAAATACGACCTGTTTAATCCGCTTCGAATGACCAATCAGACTGTCGTTTCTTGTTTCAGGGGACCTGAAGAGGCGACACTCCTGGAGCAGTGAGGTCGACTATCAGCCAGCGGAAACGGAAGCTGTGACCACTTCGGGGGGAGATTCCGCTGCCTCAGCCCCTTCGGACGACGACAGAATCTCTTACAAGGTGCCGTTTCGTTTCGCAATCCCTCACGTTTTCTCTGCGAGACATTTCGAATTTTACGAATATAAATTATCTCCTGTCAATCGTCGTTTCAAAAGCAGAATTCCATGTATCGACATGAGAATTAAACGATACAATTCTCACGCTTCCACAATTCCTCTTCAAACTGGAACATTTTTTGTTTTAAGAAAGAAGAGAAAAAGAGTTTGTCTTCGCCTCGTAAAAATCTCGCTCTCGTCGGCGGGAGGATCTCACGGACGTTTAACCGAAATAACATTTCGCATACACAACGAGCGAGAGCGGATCATTGCGCCGCGCAACGGTGCATCTTCTTTTACTACTGCGGCCAGACAACGCCGGCGACCGTAAAATCCGAGCGAACACCGCGCCGTCGGCTTTTAACAGCGCTGCTCCAACTGCCGCGGTTACAACTGCAGAAATTGCATCTCGAATTGCGTATCCGCCGCGTGTCAATGACGCCGGCGGATCGCTGAGCACCGACCCGAAAAATTTCGTCCCTCGGATCCCACACGATTCTCAAAGCGAACCGAGAGAAAGTAAATCTCATTTGAAAACTAAGTAACACATCGGATGTTAAGCGATTTCTCTCGCGACACCTCAACGACAGTCCTTTTCTTCGCCCGAAGCGTTTCTTCAACGTCGCTCGCTTTCTCGTAACTCGCGTTTTTGCTCGCCGAATACAAATAACTGCCTCCATTCCTCCGATTTCGAGATGCATCTATTCGCACCGACCGTACCGCTTCTCGGAAACCATCGCGTCTCCGCCATGTATAGGGCGGCCACCCTTCGCTTGCGTTAAAATGCGAGGGTGCGAGAGAGGTAGGGAAGAAACGGCAGGGAATATTTTTAGACGATGTAACGAGCGGCCGCTCGTTCTTCTCCGTCTCGACGGCGATGGCTCCTCTTCTTCGTGCACCGTAGGCGTAAAGGACGGGCCGCGATCTTTGTTCTCGTCGTACAAAGTGCGAGCATTTTCGGACGGGGGGTTCCTCCGTGTAATTTGCGCGTCTCTCCTGCCTGCGATCGACATATTGAGATAATCGTCGACGCGATTCAGCCGTCATTGCAAATGATTGCAAATTGTCTTCTCGTAAACACGGCGTCCTTCTTTTTTGACGAACGAATGTGACGCGTGGCCACCGCTACTCTAGTATTACCGCGGAGCCGGTTCTAAATCAAGACTGCAGTTCCTCGGCGATTCTTAATTGCGATTTTATTGCACTAGAAAATCAGACGTCGCGTTACACCAACGAGCGGAGATACCGTTAATCCTGTCGACGAGAGAGGAGGAGGGGGGAGCGGCCAGCAAAGAGCATAAACGTATAAACGGCTGATAATGAACCCGAGCTGCAAGGACATCGGAACGGTGCAAAATAGAAACGCGAACTTTATGTCGCGAATGCGTTCTGTGCTTATAAAGATGGGTTTACACTGAACGAACGAACAGCGAATGAGTGCAATGTGTACGTTCGCTTATAAACGCGCACGAACTTCCTGTGATATGCGATCAAATCAAAACATCCTGTTTGTTATGGCGTACACATTTTCCAAACAACGAAAGTTTACATTCCTTCGCTCAATATATATCTAGTTTAGAGCAAAATGATTGGTTTAAGACAATGTTTCATGCCTTTTGTTTTGAAGTAAACGACTAATCACACTCGATTGATCAATTTCCTAAGGCTTAAATTCTCATTGTAGACAAACCGCTGCGTGTAACAAGAAGAAAGTGATAATTTTGTCACAAGATTGAGGGAATAAAACATTGTCTTAAAAGTCAGCCATTTTGACGAATAAAATGTTGCGGCCGACCCATCTCGCGCCGTTCGGACTTCATAATCGTTCGCGGGATCATAAAGCGATGCGATAATTCCGATAAGGGTGTCGTGTTCGTGGTTAATAAACTGGGCCACCTGAAGCTGGTCCAAGTCCTTCGGCGAGCGCGACCCTCATGAATTTTTACGAATTGTCCGGCCGGATAATTCGCGCGTTTTATCGAGGCCACCGGAGCAGGTAAGCAGGTCGGATCTCCTCGCGACGATGATCGCGACCTACGACCCCCATCTCCACGTTGAATTCCACGTTCTCAGATTACGACTTTAACTTGGCCTGTCATCTTTGTCCGATCGATCGCGGGACGAGAAATTCCTTCGAATGCAGTTTACGAGCGCGCGGACGAGCTGCCTCTCGACTCCGGTCGTTTCGTTAAGTGGAAAATAGAGCAGAACAAAAACTTCCCCGTCGATCGGAGCCGCGCGGGAGGATAAATCTCGGGAGGGTGCTGTTAACGCGCCGCTTTGGGCCCTCGCTAAATACGGGATAGGCGAGTGCGTAGATATAGCGCTTTATTATGATTTACGACTTTCTCGGAAGGTACGCGTGGCGTAAATTACACAAGCGCGGGATAAAAAGGAGGCGATCGTAAATCAGCATAAAAATATCGGGGAGAGAAGGAGCAACGATCATGTGACAGTGGGTGGTGGGAGAATTATTTACACGATCTGTTCTTCGGGATAATTTCACCCGTGAAGAGAGAGAGAGAAAAAGTGTTGCGCTACGAAGTCTTTATCCCGAGGTAGGATTACCTCGGGGAGCAGAAAATGCGGCGAGAGTGGCGTGTGCATTCTCCGACTGGCGTCCTTCGATCTGTCCGAAGAAAATCGAGAGGATCCCTCTCGCGAAGGTAAAAGTGGTGGCGTGCACGATAATTCGAGCTAAGACCTTATAATTAACCGCGCGAGCGAGGGGAAAGTTCGATGAGAAACGTAAGGGCGGGAGGGGGGCAGAAAGACTGACGTTTTGGCGGGATGGGGTCAACGGGGTTAAGTTTCCGCGGCGAGAAACCTCACGGAACGCGCGAAAACGTAGAAACGTGTGATCTTTATACGCGGCAATCGTAGTCACATTTTATTCTCACGCGCGGGAAAGGTGGATGGATGTGAGAAATGATTGTGACGTAACGTCGTGGTGAATTGCCGTCGTATGCCGCGGATTATCGCTCCGACGTTCGTCTCAACGTTCTCAGAGCTGCGTTACTCGCGGAGACATCGACCCGTATGTTTCGAGATCGCGCGCAATAACATTATCTGGATTACGATGTACACACGATGTTCGCTCAAAGCGACGTAGCGTTGCAATTAGACCGCTGCATCGATCAGACGGCCTGAATCCTCTCTCATAAGGATTTTTATTTTGCGCGCATTTAACGGTGCCGTGAACGTCGCCGTCCAGGAAGGAGGGCAGAGAGAAAGAGAGCGGTTATCACTTGCGGACCCCGATAAACGCGTCGATGCATATTAAAGGCGCATTTCACGCTCAGCTGGACGGGAGGGTCCCCTCGGTCAGATATCGCGAATAGCTATGCATCGGACAGAGACTTCGTTCTCGCGATCGTTGCCCCCGGCGTTACCTGGGTGGAGATGTTCAATCAATCAATAACATTCGTAATGCATTCTGATAACGTTAAAAGTAAAAATGCGCGGCGGAGATTTTACGGCGACGAGGTCGTCCGTAAATTTCGCACCGAGGCCATTTGTTTTAGGGGGAGGGGGGAGGGGGGGCAACGACCGTAAATTTCCGCAGCGCGGTAAAGCACGAGCGGCAGGGAAGGAGGGAGGGAATAATTCATCTCGGTGACTCGCTGCTGCGCGGGTTAATTGAACACCCATGAGACGCATTAATAATCCACTTTGTGCGCGAAAGGAGATGGCCTCCGCAGGGCCGACGAGAGAAGCCGATACAAATTACCCCTTCCGGGCTACGGGCCCTCAGTCGACCACGTCGTGCACGTTTCTGTCTTTCCCGATAGTTATTGATTTTTTTCTGCCCATTATAACACATCGGCCTTCTCTTTTTTTCCTCCGTTCGTTCGATACTTTTTCACGGAGGCCCGCTTTCAGCGGCCCTGGATCTCTCCGTTCTCTTCCTCCTTCTCTTCCTTTCAAGAGATTCGTCGGCCACCTCGACCACGGAAGCGCGATTTATCTCGCGCAAGAACCGCTTCCTCTACTGGGTGTCTCTATAGTCGGGTTTACCTGTGGTTTACCGCGATAAATTCGGAATGGAATATCTCCTCGTAAAAGATCTGACGGAAAGAATGCTATTCTTTTCAAATTGTTAATCGTTAATTAAATATCATTGCCTTCCGAATAATGGTCCCGATCGCGAAACGATACACCAGATGCAAGTAAGCAGGCACATTAAAGAAGGCGATCGCTCTGCATGAGCTTCTCTCTCTCTCTCTTGTCAAGGAATATAAAGATATAAAGGATACACTTCAGCTTCCTGCTTCGTTCCAAGCGAGTAGTTTCGTTCTAGAAATGCAGGGACGCGACGCGATATCAATATAAAGAAATATCGCGCGACATTACACGGCATTACACGCGTCGCGCGAATAGTGTGTATTAATTCAACCGGAAAAGCAGGAAGCGTCGAATGTATTTATCAGCGCTTTGCCGCGTATGAATAATTAAGTTACAATTAATTGCAAACTAGAAAGAAGAAAATCACGCATGGGAGAGAAGAAGAGTCATAATTATTGTAATCATTAAGGTGTAATTAATATACGTATAAAAAAGTTACGAAACTACTCTTGTCCGAAGAAAAAAAACCTCTCAAACTTTTCTTATTTTTACGCACATCTGTCACAGGAATATGGCCGTTCGATGCAGACGGTGGACTTGGTGGCGGACTGTCCGTTGCAAATCGTGACGGGTAGCTCGAGGTCACCGTCACTCTCGAGATCACCGACGCCCTCGCCGCCGTCGTCCACGACGCTTCCCGCGTCGACGGGGAGCATGGGGCAACGGTCGAGCGCCCTGTTGCGCCCTAAAATCTCCCTGACTTGGGTTCTTCGTGGCCAGCAGCAACCCGGGCCCAATGGGCCGACCAGCAATGGGAGCGGAGGTAGAATCTGCTCTTTCTTTTTCTTATTTCATTAACTTTCCTTCATTTTCTAAGCTTCGAAATTATTAATTGTTACAATACACATATAATTTTAATCTATTTTAACCCTTATCGGATGCTAGCTTTTTATGCGTGATTCTCACTAGCTGGTTTCGGTAAATATGCGAACCTCCTACGTGACGTACGACCGCAGCGACGAAGTATTGTTGTTACGTGAGAGGTGACTTACGACCGATAAGGGTTAATAACGAAAGTTATGTAGTAGTATAATGAAATACGAAAAAATCTTCCTGTATCACGGATCATCTTAAAATATTTTCTCATCCTATTTATGTTAACGAAATTATGTCAATTCCTTGAAGGTACGAACAGCGATCGAGACACTTTGTCGCGGGGCAGTAAGGAACGATCTTCGAGGAGGAGTGTTAAAAGTGTCAAGGAAAAAGATACTAGCAAGGAGAATATCGAGAATAAGGAGAGCATCGAGAAGCGGGAAAAGAAGATTCTGCACAGGCTTGAGAAAATCGAAAGAACCGAGAAGGTAAAAATCTCGTTAAAGACGTTTCTTTCTGCACTTCATCGAAATAATTCCTAAGATTACCGACAAGGTGACGATCGACAATGAAAGACGACTGGAGGAGAGTCCGTTGGAAAAGCAACACTCCGACAAGGAATTCGTGGGTCCGAAGGATACGAAGGAGAAAGTGAAGAGAGCCGTCTCCGAGCCCTCCCTGGTGTCGCGAGAGTCAACGTCGACGCCCAACGGACGAGAGAAACACAGGCACAGGCGGACTAAACGCTCGCACAAACCTAGACCACCAAGTAGATTTGGCTACGAAATCGCCGATCTCGACGCGTTCTTAACCAAGGTGATTTCGCTTTCACTTTGTACCGCGAGATTCAATTTCAGATACACTGACACGCACGGGAAACATTTCAGGCCTCCATAGAGAGACCAGCGAACATTCCGGTCGTCTTGTCCTTCCCGTCGGTATTGTATCAGACCCAGGGTGGCACTCAGGACGAGATGGCCCTTCCCTTGGGCACAGTTGTGAACGCGGTCTTCAAGAACCAAACCTGGTTATACGTGCAAACCCCTCACGGCCAGGAAGGCTACGTCGGCTACGCCGCTTGCCTTCCCCTAGGAATCCTACCACAACCTACGCGAGGACCCTGTTGGGAGGATTCCACTGACGTCTTCCCTCGGCCTCTCGGTGAGCGAAGTTCTTCTCCTCGAGTCTCTTCAGTAAGAGGACGTCACTTATAACATCGAAATTGCAAAGTCTACATATGTAAATTCACGTATCGTATACGTGATCTATACTTTTTTGAGTCAATTTTGACTTTACCGTCCAAGAGAGATCTCGTATTATTCAACTTTTAGGGAACATGACTGACACGGAGAAGCTCCGTGACACCCGGTCGGAGTGCGGAGGGGCTCGCAGCGGCCGAGTTCGGCGGAGTTCGAGAGACGCGGTGTCCGCGTGTGGCGAGCGCAGCGTCGACCGGTTGTACCTGAGAGCGGCGGCGAACGCGCGCACCAAGGGCTCGCGGCATACGTTGCTGGTGATCAGGAGCGACTACGAGGCGCGTGGTGGGAACGCACTGACGGTGTCCAAAGGCGACGTGGTGGCCTTACTGAGTGACCACGTGAGCGACTGGTTTTGGGTGCGCTCCAGAGACGGCAGAGAGGGCTTTATCCCGGCGGTCATCGCCGGCCACGGCTTTCTCTAATCGCCACAGAAAGAAAGAAAAAATTCAACAAAGGTGGTGCGCCGATTCGAGTCTTGTAATATAATCTAATCTCTATGTCCATCGATACGACGTATATACACCGAGAGACGGAAAGAAAGATTTTCACACTATCGAATTTAATATAATTCATTGCGATCTTTAATTTATTTTTAGAGAGCTGGTCAGGCTGCGATATTACTCGCCGATATATCTCACTTTGTACAAACGTAAAGCAAGATTCAAATTACTCGACTACTGTTAATACTCGTGGAAACTCGATTAAATTATTATGTCACTCTGCGAAATCGACGTTTTCGAGCTAAACCAAATTGCTTCTGCATGAATGCTAATTTAATATTCGCGAGATCGTCGCGAAAGACGATCCGTCGTTTTCGGCCTTCGCGAATATTCGCAACAGCGAGCGAGGAAGCGATCTGTATATTTGTACAAAGGAAGTATCGTATCATACAAAATGTATACATACACTTTATTAATATATATATATATATATATATATATA